GTGTCCAGTACCTATGGGACTAGTAACGGTGCTCGGAACAGCTTCAAGTAACTAGACATGTACTGCGGGCACATGATTGAGTGAGTAAACACGGGGACGTGCCTCGTGTACCACAACACGTAGAGGTTTTTACTGTCTCGCCTCGGTATCAGTTGCAGTTTCCGGCCGCCCCGACCGGATGCGCGCATGATAATGCATACTTTTTATCGACTCTCGCTTCATACACCGCTGAGCACCGCCCGCGGGACGCCCTCGTATTTGGGCAGTAATGACGAATATAGTCGGGCATATAGCCATGCTGACCTAATCCCCTAGGATCAAGTATCCCTTTCTACGCTAGTGCCACACTACGACCCTCCTCTCACCGAAAGCGGCCCAGCGTGGACGACTGAAACTCCGGTACCAGACTACACACGAAATATTTTTCCATTGTCGTTCACGCAACTTTGTTAGCGAACGTCTCCCACATTCTAATAGGCTAGGTCCGGATCGGGTAGGTTCACAAAGTGGGCGTCACGAGAGTTAAGTTCATTGCACGAATAATGTTGACGTTCCCGAATGGAATGGTCGTTGATGTGCAGGCGGACGGTGCCATTGCAGGACGGATCAGGGTTACAGCAACAGAGCGGGACCCGCCCCGGCCAGGGGACTGCAACAATTCCGTGATCCGCAACGGTGATATTCCTGATTGTGACGTCGAAAATATCTTTTAGCGCCCTGGTTAAGGTTTTAAACTCCAGGCCAGCGAAGGGTGGGTCAACAACGGCCTGAACTTGGGGAGATCTCATTACCGCTGGCGAAATTCTCATCTTGATTTCGTAAGCGGTACAGAGGCCGGTCATGATGACCCGACTGGAACGCAGCTCACACACAACGGGGACTGTTAATGTTCCCCAAGGTCTGCGCTCTCCACACAGTCGGCCGTTTGAAGTAACTGTGGCTTCCAAAAGCATGCACTGTAAAATACCGGTTTGTTGATCTCTATAGCACGCGAACTCGTTGCATTTGTAACTAAAAACCGTTGTAAGCTAATCGCCGAGGTTAGGGGTGTCCCAACGAACAAGATGTTACCCATAATATCTAGAAACATTTCTGAATCGTTGAAAAGCAAATCGCTCGTCTATATGCACGATAGAATAATAAAATAGTACCCCGGCGCTCATATGCTGGACAGTGGTTTAGATAAGTTTCCACCTCCATTCCATGCACGTACTCACTGCGTTGGCCGTTCTGGGTATTAATGCCGTAGTCCACGGTGACTTTATCCATCAGCTTAACATAGATCGGGCAAGTGACGGCTTCTTACAGGCTTTTAAGCCTCCTATTGAGTTATCCTCCCATATTTTGCAGGATATAGTCTTGAACTGAAGCGTGGTCGCAGAATCGTTTGGCACGCTCGCCGGGAGGTAATTGTCTCCTTCGCTCTCTGAATGTACACTGTCTATAACAGACGATGGAGCGGTAAACCTGCGGCTCACTGCTCGAGTTCTTTGTGTGCCCAACTGTGAATGAACAAGGGACGTTCAAGCCATTGTACCGAGCCAGAAGAATGCGAGGTCCTAGACGGATAGGGATCTTGGTGCATGAGGATGCCAGAACTAAGAGCGAGATACGGTAGAGAGAAGAGCAAAGAAGGTTATAATACTCCAAAAAGCAGAATAGCTCGATGTCTGCCTCCAATCCTTGCTGGTTATGCCTTACGTACATCATAGCGCGCACAGTGCCTGAGCCCCCTTCGGTTCACCTACGCGCATTGACACTGGTATGTAGCGAGAAGGCCGGCCTCTGGATAGCCCGGACACCCACTTCTAGAGAACCACTTGCCTCTTTAATGGGGGACTGGCGGCTGACTCGAGGCTAGACGTTGCGTTCGATCGCACACGGCGGTTCTCGCGCTACGACGTTGAGATTGTTGCAGACACACTACACATATAACTCGCATTCATGGTATATGGCTGGTTGATGCAGTGATAACGGAATGGCACCTTGAATCGTGGAAGACCTGCGTCTTTTGGGCCCTACCTTAATGTCTCTCCGGACTTGATCCTATGGTTCATGTAGACTACCCTAGCGCGGCGCAACTTAATGCTTAGACTACATCCACTGTTCCAGCTGGAACACACAAACTCGGCGAATTGTCACCACGAGTGACTGCATGCGCTATGCCCCCGTGTAAATGCGTTAAATGTTTTACACCAGCACATCAGTATCCGGACTATCGGTGTACTGTTCGGCTGGATCACTGGTACAGAACAGAGTCAACACATGAACAGATCAAGCCGGGCGGAGAAGGCATCGCCTTGCTGGCGTCCATCAGGTTCGGTAGCTCGGAGGTGCTGCACTGTGTTTACGTGGGTCATAGCTAGCTGCGCAGGGCATAGAGGCCCGCACATCTTACTATGGCAAACAGGTGACTGTAGGTGAAATTGATAGGTGGATGATAGCGTGCGCCTAAAGCATGCAACCATTGGCCAAGAAAGCATTGTCATTTCAGGCTCGTATTAATGCAATTGCAACGAGGCCATCGTAAATTTGGCAAACCTCTGTGAAACAGCGATCGGTACGCATGCCGCTATAACCCGATAAACCTTGTGGTGTAGGAGATCAGCAATAGGCGGCTAGATAAACGCAATAATTGCCCAACACAGCGTTGCTAAATGTTGCATTAATTGACTTGCATAAACACTGAGAACCATCTCGTGGAAGACTCATCAGGTTATTTGCGGATGTCCCGCTAGCAATTGTTCCGTCTAGAATCTACTTGTTGATAACCATCGCTCAACGCAGGGAGCGGATAACATAGGTAGGTTACACCGTACGCGTATGTCCATACGGGCAGTGATTGCATTTCCCACTGTGTATAGAGTGCTAGGGAATCCGGTACTCTCTGCTGCAAATGGCAGCATGGTGTACACTACACGAGGCGTTGACACTCCGCTAAACTGATGCTGATTGCCCACTACTCTCACTGATAGGACGGCACGAACCTCATCTCAGTACGATTGTGTTACGGAGGTGTAAACATTTAGGTCTCCCAGTAGGACCTTAAGTATTGAGGAAGAACGAAAGAGACTACTCAGGCCTCCTACTGCCACGTAGTTACTCATGGATCGTGTGATCTTACGCAGTAGGACCCAGTCACACTCCACCAACATAGTACAGCGTTGCGGGAGATGCCTGAAAGCCACATTCGCCAACGTAGGAACACAGTCACTTCATCTCTGTAGACGACTGTCAATCGTCAAAGAGCTCCACCTTGAACTTCTGGCGGATACGGACTAAGGGCGAACACACGAACGATAACATCCGAAAGTGAGTTTCCCTGGTATATTAATAAGCTTTAGTAGGATCTCCGAGACTTACATTATTTTATTACACAGGCCTAGCCTACATAGCATCTCGGAGTCTGAGGCGTCACAGCTGCTAGCGTAGGACATTGAGACTCAAGTCCTTCAAGCCACATGTCGTCGCGTAACTGTTATTCCCTCCCACGTGGGAGTGCTTCGACCAGTAAATTGTAGACTCAACCCGATTCTACCCCAGTGAACACTGAGCCCGATCGTGCTAAGACCGCTCCTCGCAGGGTACAACACTCCGGAAAGTGCTCATAGGCCGCTGCAGTATTTGAGGGACCATCCTGGTATAAAAGGACCCGTTCTGTACGCTATTCTAGTAGAATAGAACTCTCTCATAACTAGGTGGGTTGTGTGAGATAGTCCGCCGGCTCCAGGGGCAGTAAGTGGGCATTCGTGGCATCATCGATTTAATGTGCTCGTTGTAGACAATAAAAGGAAGGTCCCGGACTTTACTTCCTCTTCTAATAAATTCCTTTACATGCGTGGCTGACTCTCCGACGACCATAGTCGACGACTACTCATCGTCCCTTGGACTTCGTTGACCGGCAGTCGCTGCGTGTAAGAAACTTACAGCCCGCAAACGATATTTAAGCACATGTGGAAACGATAGGCCCTTATTCTTTGGACATACGAGTGGTCCTAACAGAATGCTTGGTGCAGAGGATACAGTATGGTTAGCACTATGTGTTTAAATCATAATGGACCGTGGAGTCTAGTTGGCTCCGATGCTTTTTTTGCTACACGTCTCGGTTAATCACATACAGATAGTGGAGCCGCCCCGTGAGGAACTTTTATCGCACCGTCGGGAAGACATGTACACCCTACAACGTCTACCGATTGTAGTTGGACATGTCAGGCATTGGTCTAGACCTATCTCGCCGCGCGAGTAAACGTTTGATGGAATTAACGAACACCCGAAAACCACAAGGGATTAATCACGGAGACTTTGCGTGAATCATCCGCTCAGCTTTCTATAGCGGAGTTCGTTCCGGTGTACTGTGACAGTGAAGTATCCACCTAGGCACACCGCGAGTCGGCCATCCGAGTATATAATCGGCCGTTACCGCCCTAAGGGTACGCTTGGCCCTATGTTTTGGCTTTACCAATAATTCAAGTTAACTACACCTGCCGGTTTAGCTCTTAGTAGGTATCCCTACTCTTGGGTAGTCGAGATATGTTACGTTTCAAGATATGTTCAGATCAACGCCTTAAGTCCGCTTTAACCCCTCTTGACGAGTTGTGAGCTTAAATGCCTTAACCTTCTGATCGTAACCTCGTAGCCAACAATGATACACGAAAGCGACCGTGTTCGGTCAGGCTCGTTGCACACTCTGTACTTCTATACACTGACGCAGATGAACGTACGAAGTAGATTCAAGGGTCCGCAGTCCACGAGGTACTGGTTTTGAATATATATAGAAAGTGTATTGTTGCCGCTCTATGCTCAAAGCAGAGTCGAACAGGTATCTTGACTGATGTTGAACGTGTAGGGACGGTCAGGTAACATCTCGCGAACCGTTCCGTCCAGTTAAGTTCTCCGACAGCCCTTCGCTGTCGTTGGGATCTGAGCTACCGTCCAGTAGTTTGAGAGATTACAAGTAACCGATGCCCTTGTGAAATCTTCATGGATGTGCCCGCGGAGGCATGGACTTATTTCTGAGTAACGCATACGCTTATGCAGCAGCTGGCGCGCAGCGAAACTCTTTGCATTGGTATGCCCATTGGGTTAAATCAAAAAAGGGCCGCATGGCGGACTGTTTAAAAAAGAATAGATCGGCAACAAACAAGGTGAACGAAGTCTGCACAGGACCTGTTGTCCCAATCATGATACGGCCTCGTATTTACCTAGTAAAGACGAGCCCGTTGCCTCGGAGCAACGTGGCTCGCGTAAAGTAGCAAAGTCGTCCTAACGGTTCCCCATCATAATGAGTAAGGACACCTAACCGAACACGCTTTTTTGCCCTCACAACACTTTCTACCCTACGGGGACTTCG